AAAAGCCTACGAGAGGTTTCCACCCTGACCTCCAACACTTTCCGGGCATTTTGTCTCGGTTTACAGCCATTCTCGACGCCAAATGGAAGGCGTTGTTGGACCCGTCTTTGATGCTCCTGTCGTCCATCCTGCCTTGTAACGCCACTTCTCTCACAGGGGACCGCTGGAGCCGACCCCTCTCGCTTTGTACGCGTCTAAGTTGGGAAGAAGAAGGGGAAGAAGGAAAATTTACACGGTATGTATTTAACGTAACCCTGCGGTAAAGCTCCGCCCTTTCCGATTAAGTTGATTGTGTCCAACTTATTCATAGAGGTAGCAAGGTTATGTTAGTCTTTTTCCCGTCTATCTTTGTAGTTTACAAGTCATGTGAATTAATTTTTTGGCTCCGTAATACTTTACTTTTGTCTTTATTTCCAGTGCAAAGCGTTCAACATAAAAACAAAATGAGAACGTGTTAAATTATAAATAAAAACATAATTAATGTACAATAAATCTTTTTTCGTTAGTTTATGAACCCTTGTAAAAACTTTCCCCGGTGTAAACACCATACGTTATAAAACGGAATTTCTTTTCAGATCGGTAAGAAGAAAATACTTTCAAAATGCAAAAGGCCTGGGAGGAAACTAAATGATCTAAACTATTCGTAGGCAACGGAACGAAATTTTCATCGTGTTAAGTTAATACAATTTGGAAGTTTTTCATAGATCTATAAGGGGACGGGGATTACCGTTTCCTGACGCTGTGATTTATACAAAACGGCAAACTACAGGATACAGAACTGGCGACCAGTTTTTTCTCCCGAAGACGGCAATAAGAGCTAAGAACAAGTCACTACTTGCTGATATGACACAAGAATGCTCAAACACTCAGGTTTAAACAGGTCCAACAGGAAGCCTTTGAATATTCCTCGTTGCCTTTGTGACAGTGTCTCTCAATCTACTGTAATGAAATGTAACCTTGAATGCTGTTTGAGTACTTTACACTGTAAGAATAATGTTTTGAAGGCACAGGGGCTGCCTATGCCTCTCAAGTGCACAACAATGGTCTGTCCGTGGTAGGGAACAGGTCTAGTTTATCCTAACAGCGGTGACCAGCTCGGATAAACCAATGGAGGGTAAGAGTGTAGGCTCTACAGGCAGCAGGAGCATGCATGAAATTGGTAAAAAGGTGTATTTACCTGTACAATAAAGTGTAATCTGTCATGTTTCCCCCTCAGCTTCTGTGGTGACCTACTCTCAGCTGAAGACCATGCTGTCCAGCGGAAACATCCAGCTGTTTGATGTGAGAAATCCTGATGAATACCAGGCTGGACACATTTCAGACTCTGTCAACATCCCATGTAAGCGTTAACACATCTGGGATGAAAGGGGCCTGTCTATGTTTTTTTTTAAATCTTATATTGTTTTGATATCAGTGGGCAGCCTGGAGGAGTCCCTGAAGCTGTCCTCGGAGCAGTTTCAGCAGACATTTGACATAAAGCCTCCTGGGAAAGATGACGACAACATCGTGTTTCACTGCAAAAGTGGCAGCAGGAGCTCCAAGGCGCTGGACATCGCCCGCCGGCTGGGATTCAGCAGGTAAAGGGCACAGTGTGCACCTGTAGTCCAATTATTACATCACCTTTTTAAAGGGCGAGAGTTATTACCTAAAGAGCAAAAAAGGGAAGTGACTCAGATTGCAATCATGTAGGAAAATGTCAACCACATAATGTGCTTCATCGGAGCGCTATACTGTTAATGGCTCATATATTCAATCATGAATCCGTCCTGCTGCATATTAGAGTGCAGTGTTCTCATACCCTGCTTTGGTTTGTTGAACGCTGCATGACCTTTTTAGTAGAAACAGCAACATCAGTGATCAGAGGCTAAGCTCTTCTCTTCATGCTTCTTCTTCCCAGGTCCAGACATTATAAAGGAGGATACAGTGAGTGGGCCGAGCTACAAGGAAACTGAACCCACGCTGAGTGACATCTTTTTAATACAGATAATACAGAATATAATAAAAGTCTGTATAAGTTTACATACATATTAACTGCTACATTATAGGTAAATGCCACTTTAAAGACATACTTATCTGCCATGTTACATCTTTATAGACACTGAATTGAAACCTGTAATATCTAATGTTTTTGCATGAGCTGTGTACCTTTTTATTCCATGGCAATAACTGTGAAGGTGCTTGATGTTGATTAAATTATATACACATTTTAACTTTCTGTCTTTGTACATATTTTTCGTAGTTTGTCCTAATTCTGCTCTAGAAGCTAATTTCTTACAGTTTTTCCACTATGTCGAAATGTTCTTAGATCAAAATCCTTGATCCCTGATTGGATAAATTATATTTGGATAACTTGCACAAACTGAAAAAAAATGTATTATTATTACTACTTGCTGTTGTTAAATGCTGCCCCCAAGAACTCAAGATAAAAAAGGAGTGAGTAATGAAATACAAATGTTCTAATTTTGGGGGTAAAGTATTCCTTTAACCAGTTATTCTATTCACACTCATAATAGAAGTATTTAATGTGAAAACGGACTGATTTGAATACTGTCACTTTACATTGTGAACATACTCCTACATACAAACTCAACAACCTGTGTTTGCATTGAGTTGTAGTGCAGGTTATAAGCAGTTACATCCCTTGGCCAGTAGGTGGCAGCAACATTCCACCCACATTTTTATCTCCATTATTCCACCCACTGTCCTTCTGTCATTAGTGTAGCCGCCCGTGCCCTCTCAGGCCTGACCTTCACTAAAGCCATGCATCCTGTGAGCTGTCAGGATCCCAATCTGGACCGGGATCAGAGGTGACCATTCAGAGGGGGAGGGGGCGGGTCCACTTCTCCTTCACCCCACTCAATCTCATCGGGGCTATTTGCAATACACCAACATTACAGCAGGTGTGTGTGTGGAGGAATCAATGATCTGTTAAGTCTCTCCATGGAGGAAGTTCATTCTCTCAGTAACCATGAAAAAAAAGAAGCTGGGACTATTAAAAACCTTTTTTTTGTTGTTGCACGTTTAACACATGAATCACACATCCTCTTAAAATAAAATTACACACTTCCAGGAGCAGCCGTTCACGTGGGAGAGACAGATTGATTTCCTGAGTGTTGCACGACACAGGCGTAAATGGAAAGCAAGTGACGTCTGGATTTATTAGATGTTGAATGAGTGAAGACGCCGCTGTGCACTCATCTTAAGTCACAAGTCGGCATGCATGTCACACACCATCACTTCTGACAAGTTCCTAATGTATGGATTCACGTCAGCTGCAGTTAAGATTCTCCTCGCTGCAGCTGCTGCTCACAGGAGATATTAACCTGCGTGCAGCTGTGGAGAAGAAGGATGGCTGAAATGTCCAAGGACATCTGGACACTTTAGCGTAAGTTAAAGCACAAACCGACTTCAGGTTGGTAGTGAGAAAAAGATCCGTTAGGGCTGTTTGTCAGCTGCTGCTGCAGCGACGTCGAACAGATCATCACTCTCCTGCTGCTCACGGCCTTCTTAAAAGATGCACTTCATGGGAGGCACAGTGAGTGCATTGGTTAAAAATAGCAATATCTGGAAACATGTGGTTTTCATTTGCCACCCTAATGATGGATAATGTAAGAACACAAAGGTCTATAGAATTGTCTCTGATGTTGATGAATAAATTGAACTCTTTGCAAGCTGGAACCGGTTAGGATACAAACACCTTCCCTCGAACACTTCCCATTGATATCATTGTTTGTTTGGTGTGCTCGGATCCTGCAGGGGGTTTCGCTCTTATCTTAAAATGCCATGTTGGAGATAGAGGAACAGAACACAGAGGCTGATTGTGATATTTGCTGTACTTCTTATCTGCAGTGGGCTTTTTGTGTTTTTTCTTGTGTAAAAAGGTCGTGTGGGATACCATATAGATAATTGTATGCATAGACTAGCCTGACCTCCTTTAAGCTAGGTTATACTGATGCTGTGTTATGATGTCACTTCCAGCAACCCAGACTGCATGGTTCAGGGTCAGGTTAAGGACTTCAGCCGTGGGGCAGGACTGAAACAAATTCAGCATATTCATATTTGTTGTATCATATAAAATGTTAATTTACGTGAGAAAAAAAACAACGTTGACATTGAACTGTTCTTTGGGTTGTAACAGTAAGTCACCTTCATTTGCCACTGCAGCCCTAAACGCGCATCTAAAAGGGAGACACCTGACGTCTCCACAATTACGCGTGCCTCTCGCGTCACGAGGCTGCAAAAAAGTGTAACAAAAATAAAACGCCCAACACGTGTTACCGACATTCACACAGCCACACAGGGTTGGTGCAAATGTAGATAGTCAGTGGTTCATTTGGAGCTTCCCACATTCACAGACCGCTGTGCGCAATGGCACGAGCGCTCCTCCCGCGCGGGGCTGGGCGGGATAACCGGATAACTTTCCCCTCTGCCTGGAGGGTGCTTTTTCTCGATGGCATCTGATGAATTATCAACTGGGAAACAGTAACTGGTATGTAAGACTGTTTACTTTACGCACACTAAATCAACCTTAAAAGCCTGTGGGAAGTTTCCTGTTACTGTTTTTTAAATAAAATTCTTATCTGCCGATTTTTTTGCTTTTTTGTGTTGTGTGTGCGCTCTGAAAGGTGATCATTGCAATGATCCCTCTGTTACTGGACTGTGTTTGATCTCGAGGCGTGATAATGGAGCCCGATAAGAGGCTCTATCTCGGGCATTTAATTGAATTTAATGATTAGGGTTAGATTTGCGCAAATTAATCTTCCTTGGCATTGCAATTTTGGAAGAGATAAAATGTCAAATGATTGATCTGAGTAAATTGCGTTGCTTGATGCTACATTCATTATAAGCTTCATATTGATATAATTAGAGTTATATCGTGAATACACTAACCTCCTTCCATTTCCTATGGCTGCAGAGCACACACACACACACACACACACACACACACACACACACACACACACACACACACACACACAAGCTTGCAATTGAGGGTCCATTCATGTCCAGATCACAAACTCGTTTAGCTCAGAGTTCTGCACATTAACATTGGTTCATATGAGAGGGAAAAAAAGAGTGACAAGGGGAATCAGTTTCCATTTCCACTTGAGTTACAATATACAAACAAACCATTCACTGCAGCACTCGGCAGCTTTGTGTCACGTAACGAGTGCCACTGGATGTAAATGAATGTGTTTGTGGTTTTATGATTTGCCATCCTGCGACCTGTCACACCTGACTTTGATGAACTCATTCCTATCCGGAGGCTTCAATAGGACGGGTATCAGTGGCTGTTTCTGCTTCCTCTCTTGTTGATAATGACACTGGAGCCATTGAGTGGAGTAACAGACTGAGAACATCTTTAAAAAGCCTTACTGGGTTCGAGCCAGGTCTAAAAATGATCTCAGCTTCTGCCTCTTCATTTCTGTCGCAGGAAGAGAGACTGCATGAGATGGATCAGTGTGTTGAACATGCAGACACAGGTGTGAGCACTAACAGCAATGATATGTGGATTCAGGCCAGGGAGGATGGATTGCGAGGAGCAGAGCCGGGATGGCAGCCAACCAGACCTCTGAGACTGGACTTATTAGCACTCCCTCATGAGCAAACCTCCCCGACACAGCTCAAAGGCAAACTGCCAGCCCCTCATTGAAGTCACCATCTCTGCTTTTGGAGTTTGCCGTATTCAAAGTTGTTTACAGGAAGGAACGCTATACATCTGAGAGGCTGACTGAATGGCGCTGAGGAAGTTTTTTTGTTCAGAGCATTCATCTCTGCTGAGTCTTTTATCGAGTTCCTTAACTATAGAATCCAAGGAGCTTCAGGAGGCATCGATATTTGCTTCATTTCTCAATCAGCAGGGGGGGGGAAAGCACTTGAGCAAGTGTATACTGCAAGGAACACCCCTGCAGGGATGCTTTTCAGCTGTTTTATTTATTAGTCTGACTAATGTTACTAAAGGAGCCAAGAGATGTTCCCCAGCGGGCCTTCGACCTGAAATGATGCCGCCACCAACATCTGAATGGTTTCGGGCCAAATACATTTCTGATCTTTGTATGAACCACCCAGAACTCTCAGGTCTTCTGGGACGGGTCTGCTTTCAGTCAAACATGGAAGCAGCGTTCAGTTATTCAATTCAATTCAAAACCTTTATTTATTCAGGTGAAAACCCATTGAGATCATTGACCTCTTTTTCAATGGTGACCTGCTGATTATTATGCTCCATTTTTCTTGAACAAACTAACAGAATCCTTCGTGTCCGCTGCAACTCTTACTAACAAATCCAGGCTGAAGACTTTTCTCTCTGTCGCTGCTTTTAATTGAACTTTTCACATCTCCGCTGCACTATCTCCTGATGCTCTAAATGCTGTTTATGCACTTTGAATTGCCTTGTGTTGAAAGGTGCTATATGAATAAACTTGCCTTGCATTGATTTGAATGTGCCACCCTTTAATCTAAAGCAGGGGTGTCCAAACCTTTTTCTCCGAGGGCCACATACATACAAATATACGAAGGGCTGGGCCACTCACTAGAGGTATATTGCCTCATAAGTGAAGTTATAAGTCAGCAAAATCAATCAAATGTAAATTATGCTTGTTACTTGAATATGCTTTATGAAAACAAACAGCCTACATCCCAGCTCTCCAGAGGGTTTCATTTATCTTGTTGGCAGCTCATTCCTAAATCATGCATAGAGGTCACTACAGTGGACAGCTATTCAAAATGTGTTTTCTTGTATATGCATTGTTTTTTTTTGCATAGTTGCACCATCAGCCACTACATAGGACCCTATTGCATCATCCCATACACTGCCCCTCAGTGCCAAGTCAGTGTAGGTGCATGAGACATGTCTCTAAACCAAGATGGACGACAGAAAGCCACATGGACCAAGTCACCCATCTATATCTTGCCAATCCTTTTATGGAAAGCGTCCCCTGCAGGTATAAAAAATGTGGTGACATCAAGTAACAACTAAGGAATCATATAATTCATAAATTATCAAAGCATTGATTTTATGTTTGCAGGAAATCATGATTAACCACCTGTCTACTAAAGTGGACGTCATGCATCACTGGTTATATTTCAACTACAGTTAATACTGCTGTACCCGGGGCCGTCCCTCCCTACAGGCAGATCATGCAGACTGTGTGGGGCCTCACCTTGTGGAGGGGGCCACACCTTGCGGAGGGGGGCCTCATCTGAGGCGCACCTATGCGCTTATGTGGTGCATTTAGGGTGGCGNCTACTAATGACGAGGGAGTGCCATGGCCAGTGGAGAGGAAGAGAACACCATTTTCTATTCATTTGGCAGCGTGCCCGGATCTCATTCAACCAAAAAGTCTTCTCAATCCAAACTTAATCCCAGCCAATTAAAACACTGTGTTGCTCTTCCCCCTCCGCCGTCACGCTGAAGAGAAACAGTTCATCACCAGGGAAGATACAGGCTTATTCTGAGGGTGGCACAACATATGGGGCTTTAATACATTAAATATTTGTGTCAAAAACAATCACGGGTAATGCGTCGCTATGTAACGGTAAAATTGCAAAGGCATTGATCTGAGAGAAGGATGAATATTTATTGATGTAGTGAAGCATGCTTGCCCCGGGTCTCCTAGGGGGAAGGTGTGAAATCTAATAAAGCCATTCTCAGGAGGGAAGGCTTTGATCGGAGATTCTCTAAACAAGCAGCAGGTCCCATGTGAGCATAAGATCTATCTGCTCCAACATGTGCTATCTTTACATCTCCACTTCTGCTTTTGCTTTTGCTGTATTGGAAACAGCTGACCCATTTCACTTTCAGCCCCCAGGCAACATTCTGCTCCCAAAGAAGCGTCGGGATGCACCGGACAGAAAGTCAGACACGTGTCCGAGGACAGCCCAGTCTCACGGCATTTCGTGTTATAGTCACGAAATTAATTTAATCTATTGATTCGTGTTCACCAACACCATTTTAAAAGCAATGCATTTCTATTGGTAGCATGTTTCGTGTGCACCACGTCTGTTTGTCCGGTCGGGTCTTGGAAGACCAGAAGCTGTGTGGTTCATAAAAACATGTTCTTACTCAATATCTCACCCTAAGCCTAACCCTATCCCTTTTATTTTAAATTGTATAATGTCTGAGTTTTTTTGCCGTCCGCGAGGAAAAGAAATGGCTCAGAGCCTCAGAATACTGACATCTGTATTTTTTGTCATATTTTTTTCCTTCTAATTTGTTATTATTTGCTGCAGGCACGAAACATGTAGTTACCAATAGAAATACATTGCTTCTAAAATCGTTCTGTGTCAGAATACTGAAATCTGTATTTTTTAAATCTGTTTTTCCTTCTAATTTGTTATTATTTGCATTGCTTTTAAAATCGTGCTGTGCAACACGAAAAAAAGGGGAAAATCGTGTTGGTGAACACGAAATGCCGTGAGACTGTGTTGCAGAGGAACGTCTTCTTCTACGCAGCTTCCCAAGGTGCACTCGTGTGGCACATAAACAACAGAACTGTTTACTCTTGTAAATGGTGTTGAAAAGGGTGTCTGAGTGGAGAAAGAGTGTTGTAGAAATATGTATACACGGCTCATTTTTCACACATAACAAGACATGGTTCACACGCTCATTTCAGCATATGTATATTTGTTGAAAAACAATAAATAGAAGTGAGAATTATACAGTGTGCTCTGGGGTTTAGCACTTGAAGTAAAGGCAATGAACTCGTCAGCACTTTCATATCTGCTGATTTAAATGACGATTAGAGAGGGGGGAAAGGAGCTATAGTGGTATTTATGAGGGTTCAAATCACATGCAGAAAACAGTGTGTGTAGCAGTGTGTGTGTGTGTAGCAGTGTGTGTAGCAGTGAGTGATTTGCTGATCTGATGGTGCAGAGTGGGCAGTGTTGGCGCTCCATGCAGAGTTGGAGTGTGTCTCACTGCGGCTCCTCTCACACTCCAGAAGGTCACGCAGGAAGTGGCTTGCACACAAACATGCACACACACTTTGGGCCAACCTCTTAAAATAGCCATGGAGGTCTTTGGCTCCGGACATTACTTAGCGAATACATATCTGCAGTAAAGTAGCTCTGATTTCTGATGAGGGCTTGTTATTTTTCTATAAACCCTTAGCATCCTGTATGCTTCTGTGAAATGACTCAATACATACTTTGACGACTGTTATCTGGCTGACACATGTTACCTCTTTTTAAAATAATGCTATATCTTTTTCTACCTTGAACGTGAGTAAAGGATTTGTGATTCAGATATTTTGTGTTGGCTCGTGCAACATGTTTTAAAGGGTAGTATATGACTTTGAAAAAATATAAAATTCTAAACATGATGACTCCTACAAATTTAAATATGAATTGTATTGTTCATGATTTTATATACATTTCCCCATATTTCAACTCAAAATGTTTAGTATCTTTGGAATCATTTGGGATTCCACCAGAATATGAAATACACGTGTAGTTTTTAATAGTTTGCAATACTGTGATGAGTAACTGACT